GTGAAACACACAGTAGTATGAAACTTCAACTGCGTGAAACACACAGTAGTATGAAACTTCAACTGCGTGAAATACACAGCAGTATGAAAATTCGGCTGCGTGAAACACACAAACTTCGCGCATGCGTGGAGTGTATGGAGTGTACGGGAGTGATTCACGCAATGGTGCGAATAGTCACGGTCTTAATTTAATCTCTTTGAGCTATTACACTTAGTTACATGGATGGTCAATGGTCATGTACACTGATAAATGATTTATTGCAGAAAGTCGACTTTCCTCCAGGAAAAATCCAAGATCTGACACTTTGGCCCCAGGTGAAAAAAAATTGTATTTCTGCATTTCTGGGGCTCTCAAGTGTTTCATTTGCATCAGAATCATTAATAGATGCAAAATCAACGTTCACTCGGCGAAAAATTCCATTTTGTCGAAAGTCGATTTTCCCCCTGGAAAAATTCAAAATCCTACTGGAGTATGTGTCTAAGGCTCCCTTTATGCCGTTCCCATCTGTTCCACCGCCTTCCGTACTGTCATCATTGTTCCTAGAACGTGTACAAAACGGAATGTGTCCGTCTGAGATTGTACAAACGATCCCCCCCTCCCCCCATACCCCCTGACCGTCTTCTTGACGTCATGATCGAAAAATTGGCGTCGAAAACTACATATTTTCAATTAATTATCATAAGACATCTCGCCAATATGTCTCCATAATTTTCCCCGTTTAGCTAATTAGAAGGAATTAGAAATTAAACAGAATTAGAATGAATTGAGCTTCATACAATTTCCTTATTACCCCCAGATTTGCTGACGAGGTGCCTCCTGCTGAGTACGTGGAGGATCTCTGCGAGAACATGCACTTCTACTCCCCCAGGGACTACATAACCGGTAGTGATCTCTACTTCGAGTACAATCCCGAGGCGATAGCTGCTTGCATGGAGGCACTGACCCCCGACAACGTCAATATCATCATCTTCAACAAGAAGTTCGATGACGAGAGCTTCGAAAAGGTGGAGCCCTGGTTCCAGACGAGGTACACGGACTCGGAGATCCCCCAAGACTGGATAGAATCCTGGAAAAGGCTGGAGCCATTCAAAGAGTTTCACCTGCCTGAGCCAAACATCTTCATCACCGACGACTTCAGTCTCATTCCGATAGACTCCGAAGTCGAGTATCCAGTTAGGATCCACCAGGACGCCCTCTCGGAGATCTGGTACAAGCCAGACTCCAAGTTCAGGCTTCCAGAGTGCTACATGCACTTTTACTTCATTTCTCCAGGGGTTGTGGCTTCTCCGGAGGGCGCTGGGATGACTGACCTGATGGTGTCTATTCTCAAGCAGCTGCTGGTGGAGGAGCTGTACCCAGCGACAGCTGTGGAGTTGAATTATCAGATTGAGCATTGGGGGAAGGGACTTCTGGTCAAGGTCTCTGGGTTCAACCAGAAGCTTCCGCTGCTGCTGGAGACTATTGCCAAGTACATTGCTAATTGTTCTGAACTGGTTACTGAAAGCTTGTTTCAGATTATGAAGGAGGAGCAGTTGAAGGATTATTATAATACTTTTCTGAAGCCCTCGAAGTTGAATAAGGACGTGAGGCTGTCGATATTGATCGTTAATCATTGGTCAGCTGTCGATAAACATGCGGCTGTGGCTGGAGTGACTTTCGATCAGTTCAAGAATTTTGTTAAATACTTTTGTAATTATATTTATGTGCAGTCTCTGGTCCAGGGGAACATAGAGAGGGAGGAGGTGATCAGGAACGCGCTGAAGTGCTTTGAGATTCTTGGGTGTAAGCCACTGCTGCCGAACACTCTGCCTCAGAGTCGGGTTAATGTTCTGCCCAGAGGGGAAACTCATTGCTGCAGGGTCAGGAATTTTAATGGGACGGATGCTAATTCTGTGGTGACTAACTATTATCAGTCGGATTTGTTCTCCACGAGGCTGGAGGTTATCATTGAGCTCGTGATGATGAGCATGGAGGAGCCATTGTTCAATCAGCTGAGGACGCAGGAGCAGCTGGGGTACAATGTTTTCTCGCTTTTGAGGAATACTAGTGGGGTTTTTGGGTACTCGGTGACAGTTCACACGCAGGCAGATAAGTTTAGTGTGGAGTATATTGATGAGAGGATTGAGGGGTTCTTGAAGGGGTTTAATGAGACGCTGAAGAAGTCCACGGAGAAGGAGCTGGAGGGGGTGAAGGAGGCTTTGATCAAGGTCAAGCAGTGCGCGGATATTCATCTGAAGGAGGAGGTCACGAGGAATTGGGGAGAGATCACCTCGAATCATTATGTTTTTGATAGGCTGGCGAAGGAGGTGGAGATGATTTCGGAGATTGATCTGGAGGAACTCAGGGATTGGATGGAGGCGCATATCATTGGGGGGAAGAACCTGAGGAAATTGAGTGTTCAGGTTGTGGGGAATGACAAGAGTAAAGGGGAGGGTCAGTCTGGAAATGATGTGGAGGATGATGAGAAGAATGGGAAGAGTTTGAAGAAGAGGCATTTGGTCAAGTATGGAGGGGATGTTGAATACAATTTGAAGTTTCTGAAGAACTTGCTTGGGGAGAAGGTGAAAAAAACAGATGATTATTATGTAACTGACATTGAAGACTTCAAGCGAGGATTGTTTATCTATCCTGTACCGAGAGAGGAGGATTAACGATTTTGCTAGAACACGAAATAAAATTAATTTACACACACAATTCTTATTTTATTCATTTTTTCCCTAAAATGAAGTTTCAGCAAAGTTTACTTTTCTCATGAGAGTTTTAATGAGAGGCTGAAAAAGTTCACGGAGAAGGAACTGGAGGGGGTGAAGGAGGCTTTATTTTCCACACGAGAGCTAATGAGAGGATGCAGGGGTTTTTCAATAGCTTTAATCATTAAAGTAATTGGCATCGAAGACTTCAAGCGAGAATTAATAATTTTGCTAGAACACGAAATAAAATGAATTTAATTACACCCACAATTCTTCTTTTATTCATTTCTTCCCCAGAATTTACTCCAGTTGATGCAGCGTCTGTCCAATCCCTCGGGGCCAGACGGGTATTAGGAAAAGAATAAATAAAACTATCCAGTTACACATACAATTCTTCTTTCATTTATTTCCTCCCCAAAATTCATTCGAGTTTATGCAGAGTCTATGCAATACTTTCGGTTATCAGCGGATAATTGTGGTAATTTTCTTTCATTTCTATTTAATTCAAAATGAATTTTTCCTCTCTTTGCTCGAATTAACGCCTATGTGCACACATACGTTCTATGGGATAAATAAATGTTATTAATGATGTGAAATTTTATATATGTTTGTGTCTGAAGGCGATTGCCAGAGAACTCTCAGATTTGCTCAGTCGTGTTTTTCAAGACACGAATTAATCTTATTTTTCATTCATTTAAATTGAAAAAATGTTGGAGATTTTACAGCTCACGTGTATCGACATTTTTCACAAACCATCATGTTTTTTTTAAATTGAATTATTTTCACTGAATTAGAGTAGACTCTGGACCGCAGAATTACAGCACTTATTTCATCGCAAATAAAGTAATAATTGAAACAATAATCTTATTTCAATGGAGAATTAGTTAAACACAAATGATTAATTGATAATAGCTTACAATAACATTTTGCTTGGCTTTTGCGTAAATATATGTTCGTTTTGTATTTTTTTTATTCTGCTAATAAAGAGAAAAAAATAAACAATTGCAGAAATTTGTTTTTAAATTGCTTTGTTTTTTTTATCTTTGCATTTTCATATCTACTATTTCATTAAGAACATTATAATAATGGGACCCACGTGCGCTTCATTCTACATGGATAGTGTTTCTCATTTTAAATCCCTTCAAATTCAGTTTTCAAAATCCGCACAATTTGCTACTGGATATTTCGTGAATTTTATCATTTTCCCTAATTATTTTCTGGGTTTCGATTATTAATTTGTTTTGAATCATCATTAATTATCCCTTGTTTTTTTTGCATAGTAATGAAGGAATTGAGTGACTGAGGGGTAAATAATTTTTGATTCAAATTATAATGAGAAAATTACACATTTTCAGGGGTAAATCTAGTGAAAAAATGACCATTGAGATTTTTTTCTCTCAAAATATGAAAACATTTAACAGTTTGGAAATAAATAGGAGGGCGATTGCTGCTAAAAATTGTAATAATAATATTTTTAACATCATGGGATTATAAGTGTCATCCCGCGGTACGAACTACAATTTGCTTGCGAAGCATTTCACTACACTCCAGTTATTTTTCTCTCTCTGCACCAGAATACATTCTTTTTTTGTTATTACTTACTTTTTTAATATTTTTTTTATATTTCTCATTTTCTTTTCTCTTTCAACATGATGCATAATATTTTGAAAATGGAGTTTTACATAGTTAAAATACAGTATATAGAGATTATGATTTTTTTTCATCAACGTGTTTACAGTTATAATTGAATTGTTAGATAAGTTTTTTTTCTTTCATTTATTTTTATTTTTTGTGGGTCCCAGTATGCTACAACAAATAAAGCAGGCGCAATTTTAGCGCACCCAATTTTCTTACGTTTTTTGTATTACATGCCGTTTAATCATTTTGTTTTCTATTTTTTTCAGCTCTACTCTTTGAATATTTTATAATTTTTCATTTTATTTCACGAATTTTTTGGCTCAGTGCTTTAAAAATGTGAATTTTTCTGCATTTCCATTTTTTTACTTCAACCAATAAAATCCGTTAATGTTTTTTTTTGGTAAATTGTCGTTCAGCCACAGCTGGACCAAAGGTATGTATCAATTTATGTTTTGTTGATTAGTTTGATTTTTATCAATTCATTGATACGATTTTTTAAATGTCTAGCGAAGTAGTAAAACGTAATAATTTCAGGGGAAAATGTGAAAGAACAAGTTTTTCCGCTTGGCATTTTCACCTGAAACCACTCACAATTGAAATGATTTCGTTTTTCCACGTCAATACGAAAATGATTCTCCGACATTTTCATTAATCTCGTATTTTCATCGCTTCTAAAATGAAAGTGGTTGCAGCGGCGAGTGCATTTTTAGTGTCACACATTTGCGTTTACGTTTTTAAAATGTTTCAAGTTTTTTTTTATCGACTGATCATTAACGACATTGACCATTTATCATCATCATATCTTCCATCAGTTAATCAGACGATTTCTGCAGTGCTATGTCAACATTGGTTTGTGTAATCATTTACGTATTTTTAGTATCTCATTTGAAGATTATTAAGAAAAAATTATGTCAAAATGCTTTGAAAAGACTGGAATAAATATCCAAGTGTCTTGTGAGCACAATCCAGGCATAAATTTTCCCTATTACAATCATTATCAGCATAATGATATCATTTTCTCATATTCATCAGTATCCCAAAAATACCGGAATTAAACGTGAATTATCGAAGTTGACGAATGAAGTGTTGCCTTTTTTCATTTCTCTTATCAAATCAATAGGTTTTTTTTTCTATTTCGAGGCTCCCATTTTGCGTTACGAATCATTCACTCAAATCATCATTCACTCAAATCACCTCTCAACGACTGTACATCCCTTTACGTCGTAGAAAATGTCTCATTGTCTCAATGCATATTACGCAATAACAAATCTACAAAAATATAACATTATTTTTTTATCAATCTTGAACCTCTTTCTATATTATCTCAATTAACGGCGTTATCACGACTTTACCCCATCACGAGTGGAGAAACAAACATTTCTTCAAGTGATTACTCATTCTCCAGGTTCTTCCCACGAAATTACGTTAATGCCATCGTCTACATCCCCCTAACTATTAAACCCACCAGTCACACATTGTCATCTACCTCATCAATATACCCAAGCAAATAAATATGTACACACAATAGTTACCTCTCACCACCCCAGGTAGAAAAAAAAATCACTCACACATTCAACTATTTACACAGTCATGCCCTTTGCGAATTAAAAAATGATAAATCCGTAGACTGATCCCCCTCAACATCCTCCTATCGTTAGCACGGATATATAGTACGTATCATAAATAATATATTCACAATTCTTCATAAATTTGTTATTTTTTTTCTCACTTAACCAGGCACCTCGATCCAATCAAACGCATTGGCAATTCACAAACAAAAAACGATAAAGGCATGTACGAAAAATTTGAGAGGAAATTTTAATGCTTTTGCTGGGGAATTTAGTTGAAATTCCCTTCATTGTTCACTGAATTCTGAAAACAATTCTGCATTTTTCCCATACATTTTTACAGAACAATTGAACAAATCTGATAGAAAGAAAACCCATAGATTAAGTCCATTTGATGCAAGTAATTATGTTGAGATTCTTTCTAAAGAACGTCTTGGGGTTAAATTTTCTGTTGTGTGTATCCTTTCCGGTTTTTAGAAGCAAAAAGAAATGAACAAAACTCGGAGAATAAGCCACCGAGAAATTTAGGAAGAAAAAAACTCAAATGATTGAAAAAATATCTAACTTTCGGAAAGTTTCTAGGCATAAATGTTGAAAGGTTTCCCACTGTAGCTTCTTTATCCTCTCTAAACAATTTGAGGAAAAATTATAAAATTTTATAATTTTTAATAACAAGTATAGAAAAATCAAAATCCCTTGAAAATTCGGGCATAAGATATTTTTAGATTGAATATTTCACTTGAAAAATTCTTTCCAGAATTTTCAAATACAAAAATACAAGAACAAAAATTATAAATAGAAAATGTCAGTGAAAGCCACAGATTTTCCCATCGAAATAGGAAAAAAAACAAAGGACAATTTCAAAGGAATTCCCCAGTGAAGGCCCCAGACTCTCCCCTCAAATTTTCCTAATACATGAAGAGTTCTCACGTCTTCTCTTCAAAACCCTCAAGTCAATGTGAATATGGGAGATCCTTCTGTGTCTATCTCTGCGTATTTACTCCCAAACTCCCGTAATTTTCTCCCAATCAAAACGAAAAAATTAAACAGTGAAACGCGCAGAAATAGACGTTGTTCAATAATCGTTTAATAAATGTATAAATATATATTTTACCTATATGAAAAGCATCAGTCTCTTTACGCCAATAATGCCCTCTTGGTCTCCCATATTATTCGTATTAATTATATTTGTTCCAGTGTCTTAACAACTAATCATTCACCACTAAATTGTAATTGCCAACGACAATTACAATTCGAATAATTAAATAACAAATTATGAAATACGATGGTTCAGGGCACCAAGATTGGGCAAAGCGAGCATTTCATATAATACCGGAAAATATACATTTTTATCGTGTTTACAAAAAAATAATCACGCTTCCTTAATAATTAAATACTTATAACAGTTGACGATTTGTATTTTTCATTAAACTTTGTTTTCTATCTTCATCATTATCATCTCCAAAATTAACTCCAGAATTAACGGATCAATTGATCGATAAAATTGGAGGTGAAATGTCAATAGTTAAAGTCACATTTGTTATTTCTCTTGATTATTATTTTCTTTCATTCATCGATCGTTTATTTTCACTTTAACAATGCATTATGGGCGATACTTTTGGCAGTGAGAGGCATTGTCGTGTAATAATATTAATTCAATTTCCTGAACTAACGTCTTGTCTTTATATTTATTCAATTTTATTGAATAATTCTCACGCCAAAGCGTCTGGCTGTCGTCGCCTTAACAGTTAATAGTTTTTGGCCCCACCAGAGAGCATTATATGCACATCGAGCAATGGTACACTAAATTCACGTCATACTAATCAAATGTAGATCATCATTTCATTTTTTATTAATTGCTCAACAATTTCAGAAAAAAATTTCATTATTTTCAATAGGAGAAGCGAATCCTATACAAAATGAACAAGAACAAATTTTAATTGATCCCAGAAAGTCAATTTCTGAGGGATAACATCGAGAAAAAAAATCATCAATAATCAATGAATTTTTTGAAGAGAAAGGGCAACTGTTGATACGAATGAACGTAAATTGTTGATACTGGTTTTTAAGGTTTAATCACTCACGTGCACAACCGCTCGATAGTCATATAAAGATAATGGCTGCAGTCTTGAGTCACATCCGAGAGCATTATCCTTCTTATGAAGATTTATTTAATGTAAAAAATTATTCACGAGAGCTAATCGCGACTTAGTTCTCCCTCAGGGGCTGGGGGGCCACGAGGGGGGCATCACCCTGACCTTTCTCGACTGGTTTAGTGTCAATTATTGGCTTATCTTCGGACTGAGGAGCTAGAGTTGGAAGGATCTTCTTAGCGTTCGCATCCTTCGTCAAGAGTTTTCTGAAACATTTTGTTTCATTTTAATTTCGGAATTTTTTGTTTTTCGCATTTTAGAATTGTTCTCCTGTTTCTAATTCTAGTTTTTCCCTAACAAATAAATTCAATTACTTCATTACTATATTGGATGGTTGTTTTTTTTGTTAATGAAAATTAATAATTATTGGAGGAAACAATTCAAAAGTTCAGACAGGGAGACTGATACTTACGAGAATCCATCAGCATTTGTCTCCTCCACAATTTCACGTGTCTTAGATTCATTCTTGTTTGTGTTCTCCTGATTCTTCTTGATGGCACCCTTCTTCTTGCTTGTTGCCTAATAAAAACAATTATTAATGCAATTGGAAATATTTGGGAAAGAATATCTCGAGATCATCCTACAACTATTTTGAGTAATCTCTATAAAATCATCAAGAAATAATTTTTATGAAGATTTGAAGTGAGAATTTCAAAATTATTCGATAATCAATCTATACGGAATTTCAATCGATTGAAAAAAAATTTATAACAATTGGACTTTCAATTCGATACGTCGAGAGCACGTTCTAATAATAAGAAAAATTCAAGTGACTGTTATTTGCCACTGAAAACCTTAATTTCCTTGAATCTTCGCCTTAATTCCTCAATCTAATCCATAACAAAATTTTTAATCCAATACAACTCAATTAAATTGTAATAAAAAACAAGACTATCAAAATCTATCAAAATTTAACACAGTAGAATGACGAGGGGAGAGAGAAAGGCTGGTGCTGACGTAAAACAAAGAAAAAACTTTGGTAACATCAAAGAAATAAATGAATTGAATTGAATTAAAATGCAATAAATTGTTAACAACCTATGCATTTCTTAGATATTCCTGAAATAATGAACACAATATGTGCATTATTTACCTTCATCTGAGTCTTTTTTCCTCTCGTAGCATTAGAATTAACAGGATTCCCTCTTGGTTGAAACATGCGAGCATTGAGACGAGGGAATGGCGCCTAAAACAACCACCATCGACTTGAATAATCTTCATTTCTCTCACAGTTCTCCATAAGTTCATTCAACACACAAAATCACGATAAAAGGGGCCACCACGAGCTATGAATTCACGAGAAACTGAGCTAAAAATTTCAAAACTTCTGATTCTCACCAGAGCACGAAGAACCTGCTGTTCCACGATAACGAGAATAGCATTACAAATAAAGTACACATAGTTATACAGTGAATTTACAAATGGCCTTTATTCAATGTGAAGTGATGTGAAAGGCAGGGGGATACAAAGTTATGTGCTTTGTGTTTTTGTGTCAAGACAGAACTTGCAGACGAAGGTGCATTGAGTCCCCTACCTGTGGTGGCATTCGTCCACGTGGTGGCCCATGCACTGGCTGGGGAATTCTTCCTGGCTGGCCATAGTTGGCACCCCACTGTCCCACGACGACTCCAGCAATTTCCAACTGACCACCTCGTGATGGTACTGGTCGACGAATCAATTCCCTCAGGGGAATGTTGCTGCGGTTCACTCGACCACGCACGAGTGTCTCGTTGATTGTGCAACCTGCCGGTAAAATGTTGGTGGCTGTTGGAGGTGGAATACGAAAACCTTGATGAGAGAAAAATTATTGGGAGTTAAAAATGATCAAAATTCGTCTGCAGATAGAATTTTTTTTCTGTGTAAAATTTCGTTTGTTGGATGCATGATAGATTTGTTGATCATCCTGAGGACGTAATCGATCCAATGATGAGACATTGAATGAGACAAACTGTTATTCCTCGATTTTTAGTGGCATGTGAAATGAGAAGAGGAATTCAAATGATTTAGAGAATTATTTTACAAATATCTTTGAAAGAAGAAGTTTAGGAAAAAATGTTGGATGAAATTTTTTGTAGAAAATTGATAAATTTACAAAAATGATTAAGTAACATTTTTGTTCATACCTCATTGTTTTAGTGGAATAATGTGCATGAAATTTTCAACTAGCTCGAAGATGAATGATATGAAAAATTTCAAAAAGTTTCTTTCAGCCCATAAAATTGTGTGCAAAAAAGTCTTCAATTGATTTCTCTTGAACTCTAATTCCAGAGACATTAGCAAAATTCTTTGACTTGTTCTCATTATTTATGTATAAATTACTGAATAATTTCAACAGAATTTACAACCCTCAAAATGCTCTGCAAATCCAAGTCTTTTGACATTTTCTCATAAAGCTCCGAGTTTCTGAAATTACAGCAGAATCATCTGCTGCAAATTTTATTGCTTTATCTTCTCCAACTCTACTCCTCATTTACAATTTTATTAATCATGTTAACGATGGTTAAAAGACATTTTTCACAGAGAATTCAAGGATCGCCATCAATCATTAATTAGTACTATAGTAGTTGCACCTTACAATAATTGAAGCTTACTTATATTTCATTGAGATTTGAAAAATAATATAATTGATAATTCAAATTTTCGAATTGACTATGAATTAAATAATTGTCAATATGGAATTGTCAATTGACTTATTCAAAATTCCACTGTCTTAAAAATTTATGACTAGGCCGATGTCTGAGGTTTTCAATCTCTAGAACAAATATACCTCAACATTCTTCTGTAAATTCCCAAGTTTCAAAGATATTCGCAACTAAAATTCATCAATTTATTCCTGAAGAATCAAAAAGTATAAAATATCTCACCTGGTGCAGTTGTAGTAATTGGTGGACGTGCAAAGACCACATTGATGCCCTCCAGAATGGCCTTCCTCATCCTCTCAACCTTGACAACGCGATCAATGTGCCCACCACACAGGTCCAACAGATTCTTCGCCATTGTTGAACGAGCCAGTGTATGGTGGAATAGTTTTCCATCGAAGAACAGCCAGGGACAGCACATCAGCCATGGGATTGGAGCTCCACAGGCGTCGTTGGCTAGCAGAGCTGTCTCGACACCAGCCATAAATAATGTTGACAGCTGAACTCCACGGAATGTGACAAGTGGTAGCTGAAGATCCTGGAGGTACTGAGCATTCATGAGATCGGGGGAAAATGCTTGAGCAATGAAGGCATCCAGCTCTTGACGTCGTAGAATTTTTACCTTGTCTGAGAATGACATGATGTACCTGACAAAAATATAGAATTGCAAATGAGTTAAAACAATTTCAACGACTTCAAAAAATGGAGAAGACTGAAATGGAGATTTTTTTGTTTAAATTCTTTTCACACATTCATAATTTCAAATGAATTAATCAATTGAGATGATATGGGGGATCATGACAAAAAAGTGTAAAGTACACTTTTGAGAAACAAAAAATTCTATTCGATCAGAACTTAAATATTCGTAACTATTTGTTATTTTTAAGTAATTCAACGTAGACAATGAAATAGTTTCATCCATGGAAATACGATTTGAAATTATTTTTATGCGGAATCATGGTGTGACATTTCATTTCAGTATTTAAAATAATTTGGAATGTAATGGAAGTCTCTCGAAATTGTTCTATTGCATTCAATTATTGGAAACAATAAAGGAATTTCATAACGATACTGAAAAAATAACAAACTCTTTCATTCAAATAGTGAAATAAGATTGGAAATAGCAAGTTCACTTCAGTGTTAGGAGTAAAAAAAGAATGAATAGTTGAGTTGTTCGAAATAATAACCTTGAAATAATTATTTCAAATAGTATTGCACCCTGACGATTTACCTGAGAACACAAGCCATGACCAACAAATGTTGAGGTACATAAGAGATGTTCAACATCAATGGAGTGTCAGATTTCATACAAGTCAGGAAAGCCCTCAGCCTTCGTCGTTTGTCATCAATTCCAGTGCTGAAATAAGCATTCAAATAAGCATTCATTAATTTAAAAAATCTGAAGATGATTCTCTTGAGAACAGTACGAAGCGTGCTCGGGGCTGGGCCTTTATACAATAAAAATTGAAACGACAATGTGTGAATAAAAATACTAAAATAGAACGAAAATCGTTTTTAAGTACAACATCAACACATGGAGCATCGGACATACCTATGATGCCCTCGAGAGCTGCAACGAGCAGAGGCATTTTTATCAAACGGAACAGACAGACGTCCGTTACTCAGAGAGACTTTACTTAGAACCTCAGTGTAAATTTAAAAATAAAAAATAACTCGACAATTCTAAAAAGAAAGGAATGATTTAAATTTAGTTCTCACCCAAACCAGAGGCGTTGGATTGTTGGTACTCCCCATCCAATCTGCTCGGCTTTTACATATTCAGGAGTCAGATAGGGATTTGCTTTGGACCAGATCCACTCTTTGATCACAACGTCAGGCACTTCAATTTTTTCATTATCTGAAGAGCACAATTATGAATTCGATTATGAAACATAACAGAAGAGAACAATTGATTTCTTATAAATCGTTGAATGTTAAATCATTTTGATAACAAATAAGTTTTCGAGGAAATGATGAGATTTTATTTATTGATTGATACAGTAAACAGAAATTGTCAATTTGATGAAAAAAATAATGTTATAATTTTGGAAAATTTGTTATTGCGTAATGTGTATTGAGAAAATGAGTCATTTCGTACGACATAAAGAGATGTGCAGTCGTTGAGAGGTGATTTGAGAGAATGATGATAGGAGTTAATGATCCGTAGCGCGAAATGGGAGCCTCGAGATAGAAAAAAAAACTGATTTGATAGGAGAAATGAAAAGGCAACACTTCATTCCTCAACTTCGATAATTCACGTTTAATTCCACTATTCTGAGAATACTGATGAATATGAAAAAATGATTGACATTATGATAATTATGATTGTAATAGCGAAAATTTTCGCCTCGATCGCAGAGAAAACCATTTCCATTATTAGAAACGAAAATATGAAATTGATAAAAACGAAGTTTTTTCGATACTGAAACGTTTCAGGAGAAAACATCAAGATTTTTATGTTACAAATTTCATTAGTTATAAATAATGTCTCGATATTTGCCTTCCAAATAAAATACAATATGAAAATTTCATGAAAAATACTAGATACGTATTTTGTTATTTCGTAAAATCATGAAAAATTACGAAGTTGCAGCCAATTACATTCAATTCTTTTCATCTTTAGTTAATCTTCATATTCAGCAATAAAAGAAAATCATGCAAAACGTATCCGTATTTTATTTCCAAAAATCATGGAAAATGAAGAAGTTCCTGTAAAAAATGAACAAGTTACATTCAATTTTCATCTTTAATTAATTTTTATATTCAATAATGAAATAAAATTATGCAAACCCCCCCTTTCGCACTTTCTTCCTCCCCAATCTCAGAATTAAAAAACTCACCATTCTTCTCCTTCGCCTTAGTAGCCAAGTAAATTCGATGATGCACATTAAACAGAATAGCATAAACCATCTGCCTGACAGGTCGATAAATGAGATGAATAGAGGGTGTTTCCCTCTGATTCTCATCCTCCAACAGCACAGGCAGTTTAATCTCCCCATTGATAAAAATCTGATAAATATGGGGTGACATGAGCCCCTTCTGGTGTCTCTCCGAAGCAGTCCTCATGACCTCAGGAACAGTCGTAGGAATGCTCATGGGTTTCTCCTCCTTCTTCCCCTCGCTGCCCCCATGCAGTGGTGAAGTGGCTGAAGAACCACTGGACGAGCTCGACGAGCTAATAACTAGATTATGCGTCCCATTGACCTGTCCATTGCTCTCCTCCTCGGCCTTTCCCTCCCCCTCAGCACTCCCCTGCACCCCAGGAGGATCAATGACGATTTGAGGAGCTGTTTTGGCATTGGCAGTGGCCTCATTATAAGCATTGAGACTCTCCCGCTCGCTCTCGACAGTCTCCGAAGCAAACCTGGACGTCTCAATTCCACATTCACCTTCACTCGCTGCCACTGGCTCCTCAGAGTTCTGCTGCACCACAGGTGGCTGCTTGACCTCTTGCTTAGGCACCTTGACAGCCTTCACCGTCTTATTGTAATGCAAAAATCCCTCCTTGGTGCCATTAATGTAATATTGGACGGACTGTCTCAACTTGGAGCACCTGGGATCAGACAAGCTGCCGAAAACCTTCTGCGCAACGACGTCGATCTCAGCTGATGGCAGCTCCTTGACGTACCCAGCGATTGTCTTGATCGACTGATCGATGTTGGTTTTGTTTGGTCCAGTTGTGCTGATGTTCAGTCTCTTGTAGAAGTCCACGAGGTCGTGCTCAGTCAGGATGTAGTTACCCAAGAGTGCCCCCAGGATGCACAATCTGTCTGCTGGTATTCCCAAGGATTTATTCACCTCTGACATCAGGTACTCCTTGCTGTCCAGTGATCCCTTGTACGTGAGTTTCAATTGCTCCGAGGAGAAGTACCTGGGTGGATCGAAAATGGCGTACTCAGCGTCATCAGCAACGAGACCGTGGAAATTGTTCTCACGACAGTAGGCGATCACCTCCTGGTGGTGGTCATCCATGCTGCACATGACTGAGACCTTGAGGTGACGAAGGGCCATGCGGAGACCTGTGCGAAGGCACACTGGAGGTGTCCACCAGATCTTCGGGGGTGGAGTGCCCTTTGTTGTTATGTGTTTCAAGACGTTGTTCACTTTGAGACGCATTTTTAGCTGATTCTGGATCCACTCGGCTCGCCTAGCTGCCTCGTTGCAGCCGTTGAAGAAGACCACGAGCTCGACGCCTGAGAGCTCTATCGACTGGATCAGAACTGCCAGGAACTGGACCATTCGGTTCCACTGGCCTCCGCATGCCCAGTCCGAGAAGTAACCACCGTAGAGACGATCCAAGCAGCACTCACCGTCCAGCACCAGTCGCAGGATGTTTGAGTGATTTTGGTTCTTGTTGGGACGATTTCGCTGACGTTGGATCACGTTTCGCGCGATTTTCAGGAGGTCCACTGGCACCACTCCACCAGGGACACAATTGCTGTCCAGAAATGTCTGTAAGTCTTGGACCCCCATTGTTCGTTGGCTTGAATTTATGGTTTTGGATTTTAGGTGATCGAATTTGGAGTTTTTAAACAGTGGTCATGTAATTATTTTGTTTGACTTGATTTTTCACTGTTAATTTTTTTTTATTGTAATTTCTGTGGGATCGTTTTGGAGCTCAGAAGACCATGGTGCCTCCCTCTGATTTGTCAACCTGATACCTGGAAAGGTGATTATGGGGGAGTTACATTTATTTGTTTGGTGGGACGAGAGATCAGTAGCGAAGCGGTAAAACTGCGTTGACGTGGTCTTTAGCTGAGTTTTCAAGAAATATCTCCGAATCTAAGGGAGATTACGAAATTTTCGTTATTACCTTTTTTCCAGAGCGAGTTGAGAGCTATAAAGAAGGTTATGACAAAAATTAAGCTATCTCTCTTAGATTTAGGGATATTTACTGAAAACTGGCCAATAGTCAAAGTCGACTCAAACCGGTTTTCGGCTTCGCTACTGAGATGACGGTGATGAACACGAAGTTTTGCAAGATGTTGAGGCACGAAAAAATGTCGAACAGTGAGAAAAAAATTATTTTTGCCACATATCCATTCAGTTGAGAGAAAAATTTATTTTTTCAAAATCGTGTTTCTCCAATCGAGTCATTACCAGGCGAGCCTGACTAGTTTTCAAGTATGACAATCATGTTGCTCTAGAGGATGACTGTGTTACACATGACCTTGGATGAACTCCTCCAATGATTATTCATTTTTCCTCAATTTCTTATTTTTTAGAGATGAATTTTGATCAATTTTTTAATGTTGATCATTATTGAGGGAGTTCACTAAAGGTCGTAATTAACATGATCATCTTCTAGAGCAATATGATTGTCATAATTGAACCCTAATGCGGATTGCCTGCGAATGACTCGACTGGAGAAATACGGTATTTAAAAAACAAATACTTCTCTCTTTGACAAATGGATCTGTCAAAAACAATTTTTTTATCAGTGTAGAAAAACAGCGAATGCGGAATTGAATTTTTTAAAATGTCAATTAGAAACTTTTTTATAGAATGGAATCAGCAGAATTTGATCTTTCTATAGAACGTTTTCTACTGAGACATTTTCCACAGAAAGCCCTTAACATAATCTCTCTTCTTGCGTTGAAAAGAATCGAACAAAAAATTGAGAAAATATGAGTCGAGGAATTTTTATAGAAAATATCTCAGTAGAATAAGTAGTAGAGAAAAATCAAATTCTATTGATTTTTTATATGAAATATTTTCTATTGAACAATTCAATTAAAAAAACAGAGTTTTCATCTTTGACAACTTTTTTTTGTGATTTATTTTCCTCGAAATGATTGATGACTGGGATTCGGAATATCCAAACGACAATAAAGTGCATCAGCGGTTCAAAATATATCTCAGATTATTACAAATCGACACATAACTCGAGTATAATATGTAGTATGAATGAAACCATAAAGATAAAATGGAAAATGTTGAGAGTTGAGTGGAATACCATCTGAATCACTGATTGAAATATTCATGGGTAATCCCGAAAACAAATTTAGCTTGAGCCACTCGTATTCTCTCGGGCAACAACGACAAATTCCCGACGAATTGTCAATCTACATTTTCCGAATCACAATAGAATAGAAGAAATGTTCTATTTGCCCTGCAGAAAAAATAGAACAGTGTTTGATGACTTCTGTTATGCAGAAAAAATAATTTCTATTAATTTATTGCCCGTCGCAAATAAAATAGTATTGAAGTAGTTTGACACTATTTCGAATGAAATTCTGCTAGGGAATAATTTCTTCCCATTGACAATCTCATCTAATGGCAAATATTCATTTTTCGTATGAATCTATCTTGTGACTTAGGACAAATAATCGCTCTTTTTATTTTCTACACTTTGTAGAAGTAGAATAAAGCCGGCGATATTTCTATTTCGATATTTATGTGGATCGAATGAAGTAGCAAATTCAATTTTCATTCAATTTTCAGTTCTAGAAACCAAAACAGATGAATATTATCAACATGATTTAGTTATCGACGATAATAAAGTTGAAACCATCATTCTACATATAATTCATGAATAACTGCCAAGCTCTAAAAAAGATTTACAAAAAATCCGTAAGATTCCTAAGTCGTAACGTGTTCTATGACGAATATTAATGTTTCACATCATGATCACTTCTGCTATTCAATATAACCATTCAAATAGTGAAATAAAATCGTCAAAACTTTCATTATCTACTCCAATAATATGAAATAGCAAAGAATGACTGGTCATCCGAAATTCCAAACTCTAACCATTAAAAATAACAAAACTATTAGTTTAGTAAAAAACTAGCTCTGTAAACTCGGAAAATACTCGAAAGGGAACTAATAAATGTCCATTTAATTTAAGTCTAAAAACCAAAGTCGATGAATATTAATATTATTCAATCATCGCATATAATCACCTTAAAACCGTCATAAAAAATATTATGCGTGAATAAATGCCTACATTAAAAATTATTAACGAAAAATCTGTAAGATTCTTAAGGCATAAAAAAAGTGTCCTCTGACAAATATTAATTTTTCATGTTACGATGACTTCTGCTATTCCATAATCATTAAAATAGTGGAAACAATCGTCAAAAGTATTCCCTCATCCATTCCCACAACACGAAATATCAAAGAATGACTAGTCATCCGAAATTCCAAACTAAATATCATTCATGAATAATTGAGAACCATTGAAAACGATTAACAAAAATTCCAAAATATTAATTTTTCACATTGCGCCCACCTCTGCTAATCCATAATCATTGAAATAGTGAAAACAATCGTCCAACCTATTCCCTCATCCACTCCAACAACACGAACTATCAAAGAATGACTAGGCCTCCAAAATTCTAAACTCTAAATAGCCCTTAAAAATAAAAAAACTATTAGTTTAGTACGAAACATTACCTAGCTCTGCAACCACGTAAAACACTCAAAAGGGACATGTGGATGCGTGCCGGCAAGGGGAGTCTCTCGGTCAACGACACTATTTTAACCGAGTTAACGAGTCAATTAAAACCGCTCCAGCAAAATCAATATCAACAGAGTTGAATCTAAATACCGAAAGAATTACATTTTCAATTCCCCCCAGCACGCCATTAATCCTTCAAGCCGACTATCACACTCATTCGTATTAGGATTCATCCAAATGTGGCCTAAGTTCAAGCTATTGGCATGGAAAGGAGGCCAAGTAAACTAGCCCCGTTATTCATCAATTAACCACAATTAATGAAACTTAAATAATTCACTGATGCATTCACCCATCCGAACAATTCCCGGAGCAATTCATCAACTTATGGGACGATTATCCTCTAATTTTTAACGGGTAAATAGTATTATCGAGGAATTTGGAGAACCGGCATGGCGAATTGAGTTCGGACCAGAGTGAAGTGAGAAATTATTTCAAGACAGAAGAGGAGAGAAATAAGTGGCGACTTATGCAAGGGGAATATATCAGGTGGAATTCGCAGCCAATGTTGTTCGATAAAATGCGATACCACGTGATTTATTCAACTCAATAAGAGTAATCACTTGTTACTTTATTTATACTTACGTTGGGTCCGTTGGAATCATTGTGGCCATTACCAATAAATAGTCGAAACAGATAATTCACGAATGGGACGAGGGAGCGTTCTGTGATTGTGTGTGCGCACTGAACGAAACGTAAAAAAACGAGGGACTCTGCCTCTCCCGGCACTACTGTTCGCCGGTCTTCGGGGGAGTTCGGTGGACACTGGTCGAATCGGGAGGACTCGGGGAACATCGGGAGAGTAATGTGAGTAGCGATGGGCGATGTTTGCCGATTAATCGAAAACATCGATTTTTCATGTCCCAACATCGATGGTTTTTATTCGATGTTTTCAACGGCCGATTAATCGATTTTCGATGATTTTTTCACAACATCGATGTTTCTGACATAACTAACAAAATTTTTCATTTTTTTGTCGAATACTTATGTTGATTGATTGAAAATAAACAAAGTAGTAATTTATCCGCAATCAGAAGTCATGATTTTATGCAGTATTGTGTCTTATAAATGATAAGTGAACAAGTCCAGTCGTCTATTGTTTTTATAAATTTAACATATTCAATTATTTTGTTCAATTAAAAATTAAAAATTAAAAATATCATTGAAACGTCAGTTCCTCGGGTTGCATTTTTTGAATATATTTTTCAATAAATACGAGAATAAAAAAAAATTATTTTTAAGAATTTTTTGTTTTTTGTTCCTATCTAATGAGAAAAACATCGATTTTTTAAATAATCGATGTTTCTTCCGGAAAAATCGATTCACAACATCGACGTTTTTAAGAAACCTCGATTCTTTGGTAATCGATGTTTTTTTAAAACATCAGCTATCCTGAGATTGTGAGCACATTATTATATGTGTAAATACACATCACGGTGGCGTTGTCGGCTTTCTGCAACCTTGCACGTCAACAGAGATGAAGTGTTTGAGTTAAGATTCTTTGGTCAATTGTTGAGGGTATTTTGAGGCTTTTTTATTAGTGCTTTTCGGGAGTTGGGATTTTTTGGGGATTCCTGAGGGACGTGAGGCATGAAACGACCGCGAGAAGAGGCTGATGATGATTGTGGTGATGGGAGGAATCCCATCACATTCCTCGACATTGCAGTTGATGGGGAGACTGGTAAACAAATTGCATTGGTTGGGATTTTCGGGGATGAGAGAAGACGATTTATTGTTGTGGCTTGATTTTTTTTGTGAGTGATTGTTGGGGAGGATTACGTGGAGATGATTTTTCGGGGTTTTGGGGGGATCAGAGGCGTTAGAACGGAATCCATTTTGGGAAAGCAACTGTGTTTTTTTGGTGATTTTCTTCGAAGTGGAAGGGTTTAGGGGGAAATGGGAAAAGAATTTTTAGGGAGGATTGTGAGAGGCGCAAAAATGTCTTTTCGGATTTTTTAGTGAATTGAGTAGTTTATAAGATATTTGGAGGAGTAGAGTTTGGGAGGTTGTGGACACGTGTGGACATATTGATAGATTTTATTGCTAGAGGACAATTTAATATTCCTCAAGAATTTTGGAGGATACAAAATAGGTCTCTTCAACCTCTTCGATAAAGCCCATAGTTTAGGGTGGATTTTTCGGGGGTTTGGGGGGGGGGGGNGCAACCTTGCACGTCAACAGAGATGAAGTGTTTGAGTTAAGATTCTTTGGTCAATTGTTGAGGGTATTTTGAGGCTTTTTTATTAGTGCTTTTCGGGAGTTGGGATTTTTTGGGGATTCCTGAGGGACGTGAGGCATGAAACGACCGCGAGAAGAGGCTGATGATGATTGTGGTGATGGGAGGAATCCCATCACATTCCTCGACATTGCAGTTGATGGGGAGACTGGTAAACAAATTGCATTGGTTGGGATTTTCGGGGATGAGAGAAGACGATTTATTGTTGTGGCTTGATTTTTTTTGTGAGTGATTGTTGGGGAGGATTACGTGGAGATGATTTTTCGGGGTTTTGGGGGGATCAGAGGCGTTAGAACGGAATCCATTTTGGGAAAGCAACTGTGTTTTTTTGGTGATTTTCTTCGAAGTGGAAGGGTTTAGGGGGAAATGGGAAAAGAATTTTTAGGGAGGATTGTGAGAGGCGCAAAAATGTCTTTTCGGATTTTTTAGTGAATTGAGTAGTTTATAAGATATTTGGAGGAGTAGAGTTTGGGAGGTTGTGGACACGTGTGGACATATTGATAGATTTTATTGCTAGAGGACAATTTAATATTCCTCAAGAATTTTGGAGGATACAAAATAGGTCTCTTCAACCTCTTCGATAAAGTCCATAGTTTAGGGCGGATTTTTCGGGGGTTTGGGGGGGGGGTGATCAGAGGGGTTGGATGGGAATCTATTTTGGGAAGGCATCTAGGTGTTTTTTTGTTGATTTTCTTCGACGAGGAAGGATTTAGGGGAAAATGGGAAAAGAGAATTTTTGAGGAGGACTGTGACAAGAGCAAAAACACCCTTTCGGATTTTTTGGTGAATCGAGCAGTTTCTAAAATAGTTGGGGGAGTAGGGTTTAGGAGGATGTGGACACGTGTGGGCTTATTGATAGATTTTATTGCTAGAGGGTACTTTAGAGTTGATATTCCTCGACAATTTTGGAGGATACAAAATAGGTCTCTTCAAACTCTTCGATAAAGCCGATAGTTGTGGGGCTGATTTTTGGGGTTTTATGGGGAAGTCAGAGACGTTGGATGGGAATCCATTCGGGAAAGACATCTGGGTGTTTTTTTGAGGATTTTCTTCGAGGCGAAAGGGTTTAGGGGAAAATGAGAAAAGAGATTTTTTGCAGAAGATTGTGAAAGGCGCAAAAAATGTATTTTCAGATTTTTTATGAATCGAGTAATTTTCTAAGATATTTGAGGGAGTACTGTTTGGGAGGTTGTGGACACGTTTGGGCTTATTGATATATTTTATTACTAAAGGACAGTTTAGAGTTGATATTCTTCAAGAATTTTGGAGGACTGAAAATAGGTCTTTTGAAACTCTTCGAAAAGTTAATAGTAATGGGGCTAATTTTTCGGTATTTTATGGGGTAGAATAAGCGTTTTATGGGAAACTATGTTATTTGGGGAAACGTCTGGGTAGTTTTTTGGGGATTTCTTCGAAGTGGAAGGGTTTAGGGGAAAATGGAATAACAGATTTTTTGGAGAGAATTGTAAGAGGTGCAAAGAATGCCTTTTTGTCATTCCGGCCGTGAGGCAGCGCTTCACGGACGCTCCGCTCCGCTCCGCGTCCGTGAATCTCTGCCTACGGCCGTCATAACAAAAAATACTGTTCGTCATATGGCCCAAAAAAACTTTTCTAGCTCATATGATCAAACTCATATTCGCCAGAAAAGTTTCTTTCGGCCTAGTGACGAAATAAGCTATTTTGTCATTCCGTCGTGAGGCAGCGCTTCACGGACGCTCCGCTCCGTGTCCGTGAATCTCTGCCTACGGCCGTCATAACAAAATAGTATATTTCGTCACTAGGCCGAAAGAAACTTTTCTGGCGAATATGAGTTTGCAGCCCGAGCCGAAGGCGAGGGCTGCAATCATATGAGCTAGAAAAGTTTTTTTTGGCCATATGACGAACAGTATTTTTTGTTATGACGGCCGTAGGCAGAGATTCACGGACGCGGAGCGGAGCGTCCGTGAAGCGCTGCCTCACGGCCGGAATTACAAAATAGTATATTTCGTCACTAGGCCAAAAAAAATTGTTTGTCATGACGGCCGTTGGCAGAGACTCACGGACGCGGACCGAAGCGGAGCCGGAGCTTACTTACGGCCAGAATGACAAAAAGAATTTGATTGCTAAAGCGCTGTTTAGAGTTGATATTCTTCAAGAATTTTGGAGGATTCGAAATAGGTCTCTTGAAACTCGTCGATAAATCTAATAGTAATGGAACTAATTTTCCGGGGTTTTGTGGGGTAGAGGCGTTTTATGGGAAGCTGTTGGTTGGGAAGACATCTGAGTCGTTTTTTGGATTTCTTCAATACTGAAGGGTTTAGGGAAAAATGGGATAAGAGATTTTTTGAGAATTGTAAGCGGTGCAAACAATGCCTTTTTGTCATTCCGGCCGTGAGGCAGCGCTTCACGGACGCGGAGCGGAGCGGCCGTCATAACAAAAAATACTGTTCGTCATATGGCCAAAAAAAACTTTTCTAGCTCATATGATTGCAGCCCTCGCCTTCGGCTCGGGCTGCAAACTCATATTCGCCAGAAAAGTTTCTTTCGGCCTAGTGACGAAATATACTATTGTGTCATGACGGCCGTAGACAGTGCTTCATAGACGCTACGTTAGCGTCCGTGAAACGCTGCCTTACGGCCGGAATGACAAAATATAGTATTTCGGATTTTTTAATGAATCAACTAGTTTTGGGTACTATTTGGAAGGTTGCGGACACATGTGGGCTTTTTGACAGACTTTCTTGCTAAAGGTCATGACAATTGATAATAATCGTCTCCAAATCTTTACTCGGATGAAAATTCTTTCATTGTTAAGTTCACGTATACATTATTCATTCTCCGGAATGTCGAATATCAGAGTTTTTCTTCAAGAAAATTGATGAGCGGTAGTATGAGAAATCGTCAAAGATTTTTATCGTAAAGGATTTCTTTATCTACAAAACGATCTCTTGACCTCCGTTTTTAAAGCCTGAATGGCTTACGAGATCATTTTCGAGATAATTTCGTCAAATTTTCTCAATTGATTTTCTCGCATCATTCCATCACCTAATCGTTCTATTTTTTTATTTTAAAAGTTGGACGAGTTGTCATCGAATTATTCAAAGACATAGTTCCCCGGACAGCTGAGAATTTCCGAGCCCTTTGCACCGGGGAAAAAGGGATCGGAATTAATGGAAAGAAGCTGCATTACAAAGGGACCATCTTCCACAAACGTAGGAAAATTATTCTTCTTATCTATGTCTCCTGAAAGTTAATTTTTCATCAGCCTCGTCATTTTTCAGTATTTAACACCATTGAGTAAATGTCTTTCAATGTTCAACTTTTCAAAGACGTGTGTTCATTTATCTATTCATTGTATATAGACCCAACAACCTAGTGCCAGTTACAGGGTCAAATTTGATACATTCAGATATAATGTATCATTCAGATGTAATGTATTGTATTTTAAAAATAGACAAATTGAAATCGGTGTAGTAGTTTTCGAGGTATCAAGGAAAAACCAAATTTAAACAACAAGTTGTTATATCTCTGGAAGGACTGGACCGATCGGGCTGAAACCGCGCGCCATAGTTGAACGCAATATCATAGCAACAATAAACCAAAATTTTAGTTTTTTATCGATAAAATTTCATCGTATTTATGTTGAATTTTCTAAAACCAGTAACCAAAAACCCAAGCTGCTACATACATACAAACATAGCCCTAAAAACAACACTTCTTCACATTTCATAACATTCTAGACCATTTACAGTCAAAATTAGAAAATCGAGAAATCGGTCACATACAAGGTTTGAATTTGGAAGCAAAAATACTAATTTTTTTGGAAAATCGATGACCAATTTTGACTAAAATCGCAACATCCATCAATCATTGAATATTTCACAATGCATTGCATGAGCAGTCGTTCCCCAGTTCATGATCCAAGGAGGTGACATCATCAATTTCGATGGTACTGATGGAGAGAGCATCTATGGAAGGCGCTTCGAGGACGAAAATTTTGAGATATCCCACTCTGTAAGAGGCCTCCTCAGCACGGTGAACGAAGGAAAACCAGACACCAACAATTCGCAGTTCATTATCACAACAGAGCCCAGCTCCCACCTCGATAACACAAATGTCGTGTTCGGAAAGGTCATAAGGGGAATGGGAATCATCCAGGAGTTGAATGACACCATCCGTATCTATAAAGATCGACCTCTCCAGGTAGAAAATATTTTTTCATGCTAATCTGTCTTCAGAGGCATTTCGTACTTTGAGAGCTGAAGTTATGAGATGAGTTCTCAAATTTTCCCACGTCTCATTTTGCAAATGGCTTGGAACAAGTTTGAGGAAATGAGGTTTGGACAAATTTCTCAGACGACTTGTTGCGAGAAATTTCAAGACCTAAGGTGAATGATCCTACCCTCCTGTAGCTAAGGTGAATACATTATTAGTCCAATATTTTTCTATTGAAACGAGTGTGAAGATACGATGTTTTAAATTAGATAGAAAGTAAAAAAAATCAGAATTATCATTCACTTATATTAATCAAGATAATTACTATTTTTTAGTAAATAGTTGTCCATAAACGTATAAAGTCCCATGTCCCTACGCTCGCTCATTTCCCCCATGCACATGTCCCAATCCTCGTCTCGTGATTTGAATGACATGGAAAGGCTATATCCGAACTAATTACATCGTGAGTATCCTATTTGGGATAAAACAACATTAAAAAATTCGACGGGATTGTTGGTCGCTCGCTTCGGTCGCTCTCATTGCGGGTGGGTTTCAGTGTGTGTAACCCATTACGGGTCGAACCAATAACTTCCCGATCAATTGCGTTTCCTTCTTTCATTAGAATTAGATTTTTCTATACAACTTATTCTATTGAGATATTTTCCATTGAATTTTTTCGGCTCAAATTTTTCAAGATTTTGTTTCATTTTATTGATGAAAAAACAGAAAGAGCAATAAAAAAGATAATAATGAAAAAAATTGACCTATATTGGAAAATCTTGAAAAAGTTTCAAATTTCAAAAGTTCGTGTTCGTATTACTTCGAAACCGTTGAGACAATTTTGCTGAAATTTCACTTCAGTCGCACGCTGCCGCCAGCCTTCATCCGTTGCACGGTTAGTCCAGCGCCGCTGGGTTCCGAGCGCGCTGTTGCCACCTTGGCACTTACCCTTATTATATGCGCGCATTCCAAGCATGGCAGTGAATGTAGCAACACTGCCGCTCAAGGGGTCGACAGGGACTCACTCGCACCGGACGACGCGGCGCCGCTTGTCTGTCCGTTCGACGTTTCTTTTCTTTTTTTAGCTAAACAAATTTCAGGAGAAAAAAAAACGGACAACGCCAACGCTTAATAAAAGGATAGAACTAAGAACCCTAATTTTTTCAGAATTTTTAAGCGTCAAGAAACACGCTAAAATATAAAAAAACGAAAATGGGCGACGCCGCGCTCCTTCAGCGAGTGATCGAGGTAATCATACAAAGTTCCATCAATTATGATGACAAGAAATCAATTTCATCGTTTCAAGCTCGCGACATCTGAACGAGCATAGAGACAGGGACGAGCATAGGTGCATTTACCTTACGAAAATCTTGTCGTATTCAAGATATCCGTGATATTAAATTAACATGAATATTTCACTCACCTGATTTGGTAAAAAATTGTAATCATTTTTTGCAGAAAGTGCAGATTGTGGAGTGTGGAGAGTTGAAAAGAGGCGATAATTGGGGCATCTGTGAGGATGATGGGACGGTGGATGTTTATCCTCTTTATCCAGAGGACTGGGATTACGTGATCGATACAGATGAAGAGAAACTGGATGTAAATGAATTCTCTTTTATTATGACATTCGTACTCATTGAAGTATTAGAAGATTTTTTTCTAGGAAAAATTGAGGTCTTTAAACAAATTTTCTGACATTTTCGTTTGAAATCTGCGTCATTTTCGTTGCAAAATGCACATTAGGCTCATACGAAATGAATTCAAATAAAAATTGATCAAGAAAAAATTAAGTTGCATCTACAGATGAAAAATGACTATCCTATTTTTTGGTGATGACGCTCACATGACCATCATATGAAGGGCCATCTGCCGCATTTGTAACTTTATCTCTGCTAGGAATTGTAACTATTCTTAATCGAATTTTATTCAATTTCTTCTAGCACAAACATGTAATGAAAGCGATAGAGCACATAAAAGTCTCAGGGAATCATTATTTCACTAAAAAAAACTACTCGAAGGCTGGACTGAGATACAAAAAGTCGTTACGTTATTACGATTGGCTCACAAAGGCACGGAGTGTTCCAAAAGATCTCGCTGAGCCTCTGCAGAACCTCTGGATCTCAATACTGCTGAACTCAGCGGCAGTAGAATTAAAATTAAATAGATACAGGGAGGCTTTGAAGCTGTGCAGCGATGTAAGTGGATAATCCTCAAATGCTGATAATTTCTTAACAATAATTCTGAAGTAAAGTAGCAGTAGAAAATCATCGAAAGATTATCCGAACGATGATTTTATTTTATTACTAGGGGGCTTCCCCCCCCCCCCGCTCGCTTCGCTCGCTCCGCCCCCGGCGGGTGGACAGTTCGTTTTTCGTTCAAATCTTGAAACATTAACTATTGGATACTATTTTTTGTTCTTTGGTGTGGTTAAAATGCAACTGTTAGTTTCCGCGATACGGAGAAAGGCTCCAACCAACATATGACCCCCATACGACTCCATAGATTTTCTGGGTATTTTTTTATTTTATAGTGCGATGAGTCTCATATATAGTAGCCTTCATATACTCTGGCTTTCCTCCGCTCGCTGGGCTCGCTCCCCCCCTCTAAAAAATATTTTATTGATTAAAACAGTTTTTCAGTTAAGTATAGTCACTTAAAGTCCAGTCTTATTTTTATAAGCCTATATATAAGGCCTATATATAAGCCTCATATATAAGCCTCATATTTAGGCCTCATAGGAATGGTGGATCCGAAGCCCCCCCTCTTTCGAGGGAGAGGCGGGGACGAACGGCTAAGGGAGGGGAGATTCGCGAAAGCGCTGGAGGGGAGGGGAAGCGTCCCCTGAATTTTCGGCGTTATTTTTTTTATTATATAGAGAGAAAATCTGTTTATAATTCAGAGGAATTCTCCAAATTATCTGTTTATAATGAAATTTTATGAACAACACTGTGTGTTGTAGTTCAAAAAATTTGATCTCATTTCAACAGTTAATTTTTGAAATATCTCTTCAAATAGCGGTTAACCCTTCGTTACTTCCGTGAAACTGTCCGACGTGCTTACTCGCTTGCGGCGCCGCGCCGTTGCCACAGTTCATTCGGAGAGTGGATTCGCTAGATCCGATCAATTAGCCCCTCATGTATAGATATTCCAAATTTTTATTTTTTTCCTCATTGAAGTAGTTTTGAAGAAAATTGCGAGCTAATAAAAAACATTTGGTAGTTAGTACTTTGTTTTAAATAAATTTTTGGAAAATCACCTCTGAAAAACAAGGCGTTATCCCCCCTATTTCATTATGTCCAAAAAAATTTATCACCAATCGATAGCAAATTGTTTGAACATTTTTGCGAGTTAGGAAAAAATCGTCAATGCAATCCTATTATTGTGTAAATTAACAATTCCAATTTCAACTGAAAACCAGAGTTGATGACCAGAG